TTCCAGGTGGACTTTGGCCTAAGGCCTCTTCAGGACTTCATTAACATTCCATGAGTTGTCCTGTGTTTTCCCTGAGTCATTCCCAGCATGGCCTCCATTTTAGATTTCACTCGGTATTAGACCTGATTTACCTAACTACACTAACTACCTAACTTTAAATCTGGCTTCAGTGTTATTCTAAAACATTGGGGAAGCAAGAACTCGTCACCGGTCAACAGCGGTAACACAAGGACAGATACATCTGCCTTGAAAGGTAATCCTATTTTTCCTGAGATTAAGGAGTATGGAGAGAGGAAGAGAAAGAAACATGTCTATTTAAAAAAACAGTTGCAGAGCAGCAAGGGGTATAGTTAAAGCATAAATTGATTCACTGTTACATTTCCACCAATTAATGCTTCCTCTTCAGAGTAAGAACACCTACCCAGGTAATGTAATGCCAGATTCGAGGGACCCCTATAAACCTCCAAGAGCCGAATTCTTGCAGTCACACAAATGTCTTTATTGCAAGCTCGAGCCTGGACTCACAACCGTTTACAACACAGAGGTCCCAAGGAGTGAGTCCTGACCCTTAGTTCAGTGAGGATTTATAGTTTTTTGGGGGAAACTATGCGTCACAACATTACACACAATTCATTTTATACCGCGGGAAAATCAAACAACAACTCTTAACATTGATTGGCGTGAACAAGTCAGGTAAGGGTGATTGGTTAGTTCAAGCGATGGATAAGTTTGAACTGATTGGTTTAGGATTCAAGGGGTTGCAAGAGTGTATATGCTAAACTTGCAGGGTTGCCTAATCCTGTTATCGATCACCGAAACTACTGGGAGGGACACTTGGAATTTCAGATATTTTCTCTGTCTCGCGCTGATTGGTGGTTGCTAGGAGGTTGCTATGGGTCCTCACCTAGCCTAACTGAGTCAGGGACACCTGGCACCACAGAGCTCTCCAGTTATTTACATACAAACAACTCAGCAGGGTGGGTATGTGCCTTGGAATGCTCTGTGGGTTTTTCCAAGAAAAAGGGTCATGCCCCCTCCCTCTGGACAGGCCTTGAAGTAGAAGCTGGTTTCTCAAAAATGGAGTCACATCAGTTTCTCAGTAACAAGATGCCTAAATTTCATCCTAGCAAGGCAACTATTTAATCTTAGCCATTATGCCTTCTCAACCTTTCCATGCCTCATTTTCCTCATGTGTGTTTGAGTTATAATAACAACACCCATATCAAAGCTTGCTGTATTAAATGTTATATGCAAAACACTTGGTCAGATGCCTACTTTGTAGTAAGCTTATTAAATATGAACATTATTTTACATAAGTACTAAATATTGGGGGAATGTGATGATACTTTAATAAGGATTTCAGTGGGGAAGGAGGAAGAACATATTAATTACATGCAAATATGATAAGTAGAAAGTGCAGAGTAAAGCAGAAAACAAAAGGAACATAGAATTCTGCTGGTTGGTCCTCATCTACATCCCTAGAAACCAAAGCCATAGCAATGGGTGGGAGGCTCAGAAGATCCTCCAGACTGCAGATGGCGCTGCAGCACCCTCAGAAAGCAAGAGATAGGAGGTTGAGCAGCCAAGGTCACGTGTCTCCGTGGTTGCCGCCCCGGCATTCATCGCCTCTTTGCTCCACGTGACCCACATCCTCGGGGATGATTGGTCTGTGTGAGGCACGTGGCCAGGGCTGGGGCGGGGCGGGGCGGGGTGGGCGGAGGGGTGGGGTCGGGGGCGGAGCTGGAGGGGGCTGGTTCGGCGCGGGGGCCGTTGGCTCCAGACAAATAAACATGGAGTCCATCTTCCACGAGAAAGTGAGTGTCCGCGTTCCGTGGGAACCAGTCCGCGGTGCGGTGGCGGTCTTGGGGTGCGGTATTGCAGTCTCCGGGGGAGCTGGGTGGGGCCCGAGGTGCCCGATCCCGACCTTGCCGGACGAGGGGTGCCGCCTGCCTGCTCGGCCCGGGTTGGGGAGCTTCCCCTACGCCCCCAAGGCACCCTCCGCCCCTGCGGCACCCATTCCGGGAGCCGGGAGAGAACGAGAGCCGGGCCCGGCCGGGGGCGGCGCTGGGCGGGATAGCTTTGGCGGTTCTCCGCCACTTCGCGTAGCCTTTTTGGAGGATTCCTTCTATGTCCCCCCCCTCTCCTACTAGAGTATGGCTAGTCACCTCTCCAACACCTCGCTGGACCCTTTCCAACTCCACCAGCCCACCCTGGGCAGAATGAACTTTCCCTTTCCTGGGCTCTCCGGTTCTACAATGGAATCCTCCCCCCTGCACTTAGATCTTTGGGGTCTAATTCATGTCCTGCACTAGGTTCGTGAGCCTTCCGAGGGCGGGGACCTTGGCTCGCCCATTGTAGGGCCTGACACTTAGGAAGTGCAGTAGGGAAGTCGTCACAGGAGTTTTTTATTACGGGATGTGGGTTTGGTTTCTTTTGGTGTTCCATCTTTCCGGATTGGGAGGCCAGCTTTGGTTTTAGGTATTAGGCGTGAACTGAAATAATTTTGTTGTGATCTGCCCAGCCTTGTTCTCGCCTTAATTCTCCAGTGGCCACAAACTGAAGATACTGTCTGTGGCATCCTGAGAAACTGGTCTTTTCTCATATACAATTATCAATCCATTTGGGTGTGAGTGAAGCTTTCCTGGGACAGTTTTGGCATATGATATCTTGTTTCATAATAGTTTCATGTTTGGAAAGGGCTGTTAATGAGGCTATTATTTAGTAGGAGCAAAGGTTTTCTTGTTTTATTAAGTACCTATGAGTGATCTTTCATCCAAGACACGTAAAAATTCACACATACCTGCACCACAGTCAAAGCAAAGTCAGAAAACCATGGCATAAATCTGAAATATAAATAAATTGTTAAATGCAGTACTTTTTAGAAAGTATTTTAAAATTTTAGAAAACATTTCAGAATGTCCTGAAACTGGAACAGAACAATTTTTATGTATGGGGATGGAAGTACTCAGCGCTACAATTAGCAGTAATCTTTTTACTTGGTTGGACAGATTTATGAATTTTGGGCAAGAAAGATTTAGTTGTTTAGCTAAGGAGATTGAGAACTATACATGTTGTTTGAGTGTGTGTTTTCATACTAGAGCATGAGCCCAGGGGCATTCTACCACTGAGCCTTCTTATTGTTTATTTTTGAGATAGGGGTCTCAATGTTAATTGTCCAGGCTGACCTGCAACATCAGCCCTTCTGCCTTAGCCTGGGATTATGTGTGTGTGCCATGGTGCTCTTGCATGTATATATTTTTATAATTAATTTTCAAAGGCTTTGGCATAGAACAAAATGTTTTGGCATGAAAGACTTTGGACACTTCGTGAGATTCATATGTTTTTTTTGTTTTTTTTGCCGGGGGGCCAGTGAGGATTGAACCCAGAGGCGCTTTTATCACTTAGCTACATCCTAAACCTATTTATTTATTTATTTTTTAAGATAGGGTCTCACTAAGTTACTTAGGGCCTTGCTAAGATACTGAGGCTGACCTCCAATTTGGCAATCCTCCTGCCTGCCTTATCCTCCAATTTAGCTGGGCTCAAGCTGGTGTGCCACCTCACCCAGCTTATATATTTTTAACAATATTGTTACTTCATCTGGATAGATTTCAGGAATGACTGAACCGTGGATTCAAAAGATGAGCATGCATGCCTGTAATCCCAGCTACTTGAGAGGCTGAGGTAGGAGAATGGGAAGTTTGAGGCCAACTAGGCAGTTTAATGAGACCCTGTTTCAAATTAAATTTTTTAAAAAAGGGCTGGGAATGTAGCTCTGTAGTAGAGTGCTCACCTAGAATGTGGGAATGAGAGGCCTGAGTTCCATCTCCAGCATTGCAGGAAAAAAAAAAAAAGTTGTTGAACACTTGTCTGATGGAAAATCTACATACCCAAAAGAGGTCACTCTGAATTTTCAGCATGTGTATTGACTTAAAACACTTTAGTGGCGCATCATAGTGCATCCCTATAATCCCAATTCAAATCCAGCCTCAGCAATTCAGTGAGGCCCTAAGCAACTCAGTGAGACCCTGTCTTTAATAAGATATAAAAGAGGCTGGGGATGTGGCTCAGTGATTAAGATTCCCTGGATTTAATCTCTGGTACCAAAAAAAAACACAAAAAACCACTTCAGGAATACATTTATCTTTATCATCAACTTATATGGCCCTAGTGTATAAAGACTCTTAAAGTTCTGGCACATTTCAAGAGAATGTACCTGTAACCATTGGTTCCATTGTTAATCATGTACTCAGTCCAGTTTGAGAATGTTTGAGCTTAATGTACTATTTTTCAGAGTATTCTCTTCCCTTCCACAACACATTTTTAACCCTTGAGCCAGAAGCAACTTTGGCTCCAAAAAAGAAAAAGAAAAAAATCCCACCTGTGTAGGTAGGAATCTCTTCCTGCAGAGGGCTTGCAACCTGTTATCTTGGAACATTGGTTTTCCTATTTTCACTTTGAGTACCCTTATTAAGTTAGAGCATGAAAAGCTGTTGTTCATTGATCTATGGCAGTCTAAGATAATAATATTTGAATGGGGGCTGGGGATGTGGCTCAAGCAGTAGCGCGCTCGCCTGGCATGCGTGAGGCCCAGGTTCGATCCTCAGCACCACATACAAACAAAGATGTTGTATTCGCTGAAAACTAAAACATAAATATTAAAAAATTCTCTCTCTTTAAAAAAAAATAATAATATTTGAATGGATTGAGAGAGTTCCTTAGCTGGGCACAGTGGTGTGTACCCTGTAGTCCCACGTACTTCTGAGGCTGAGACAGGAGGGTCCTTCGAGGCCAGCCAAGGCAACATAGTGAGGCTCCATCTCAAAAAATAGCAAAACAAACAAAACACAGTTCCTTGAGCATCTAAGATGTATGCAGTACTATTTAAACAACATTATCTGTAGCTATTTTAAAGTTTTGCTGGCCATATATGTCTCTATCACATATTTTCTTTTATTTGGTACCAGGAATTGAACCAGGGGAACTTAAACATCAAGCCACAATCCCCAGCTCTTTTTTTTGTATTTTATTTAGAGACGGGTCTCATGAAGTTGCTGAGGCTGGCTTTGAACTCTCAATCCTCCTGTCTCAGCCTCCTGAGCCACTGGGATACAAATGTGCTTCACCATGCCTGGCTTCTATCACATATTTGTGTGTGTGTGTGTGTGTGTGTGTGTGTGTGTGTGTTTTATCAACTGTCTAAAAATATAAAAACTATTCTTAGCTATTGGAGCAGGTTGAATTTGTCCCCAATGCTAAAATTTATCAAGCCCTAACCTAAACCCTAATACTAAATGACCAATAACTGCTGATTTTATGGGTATTTTAGGGTTCTTTTTCTGGTGCTTGCTTTCTGTCTTTTGGTGGGGGGACCAGGGATTGAACCCAGAGGTGCTAACCACCAAGCTACACCCCCATGCCTTTTTTATATTTTATTAGAGACAGGGTCTCGCTGAGTTTCTTAGGGCCTTGCTAAGTTACTGAGGCTGGGTTTGTACTCAAGATCCTCCTGCCTCAGCCTCCCAAGTTTCTGGGCCAGGTGTGTGTCACTGAGCCTAGCTAGATGCTTTCTGTCATTTTTGTTACCACTTACATTGTTCATTGCTCTTGGTGTAGTCACTGTGTCATCTAAATTGGTTCTTTTAATGTAATATGAAATGGGAATGAGAATCATGAAAAGAGACTGAGCTTTGACTTTGTGACATCCATCATGCCTTTTTGTGGTTGCTGCCTCTTAGCTGTCTTTAGGGTATTTAGGACTGAGCAAAAGCCAAATTCCAGGTAAGTGGCTTGAGAAAGTGGTAATAGTACAGACTTTGAAACCTGTATCTGGGTTTGAACTCCAGCTCTGACAAGGGGTATCTGGATGATCCTGGACAAGGCATTGACTATTGTGCTCCAGTCCGGTCCCCCTCTGTAATGTAAGGATACCGAGTGTCTGCCTTGGAGGCAGAAGTTCTTGTAGGTACCTAGAATGTGGCAGTGCTAGAGGTGCTAGCCATTGCTTCTACTCAGATTCTTGTGCTTTCTGGACTTCATGCTAAGGGGTGAGAG